ATTACATAGCATACATCGTAAGAACGAATTGTTATTAGTGTTATCAATCAGATTCGTGTACTCTTCCGACGAAGAAGACGGAAAAAAAGCGTGGAGCTGGCAAATCGACCACATTAGTGACGAGACGATATCCAAACCCGATCATCCCCTTCGACGAAGTGCCCTTATTGGCACTTGGGAATAAACAAGAGACGATCAATAGGCCATAAAGGATGGAATCGAGTGTCCACATGAAAAATATTGCTCCATAAATATACTCGCAATCGACGCCACTTCACATAACGCCGTTATTATGCCTTTGCCATTTCGCAGGACGACTAATTCGAAATTGCACTCTTTATATTCTTAAAGATAACAAATCACGGACGGTGCATTGGCACAAAGTAAATAATGTAAATAAAACCCTTTTGCATGTTAATATATGATATTCAAAATTTAATAAAATTTAAATAAATAAAAATTGGATCATAATCTTTGCCGGTAATATTCAGCAAATTACATCTCTGTATTTTTAAGATTAAAAATGTTTTTTTTTTTTTTTTTATTAATAAAAATTTGGCGTAAAATTTGAAATCTTAATGCCCTAAAAATTTGTCTTTACAAATTTAAAATTTTTGAAGCTCGGACCTGCGAATTGATATTTAATCATTATATTAATCCTTGTAACTAAATCTTAAATAAAAATTAATTTTAAAATCTCTTTCTTTTATTTCTCTTACTTATACAATATGTTGCAATAATGATTATGTTTCCCAAGTTAAGAATAGAAAAGATGCTTGAAAACTATTTAAAGTCCATCGACACAGCCCCTCTTTTTAAAACAGTTAAATCTTCAGAACAAAACAATTGTAACATAGGTCGCAGTTTAACTCTTTTCCATTCTGATTATATGACCGAAACCGAAGGACATCGTTATTAAGTGCAAAGGGTTAACTTTCTGAGAAAAAGCCACTACTTTAGTACCCTTGTCATGAAAATATCCTTTGCGGAACCCCATAAAAAAAATAACGAGTGAGAGAGAGAGAGAGAGAGAGCTACGATTTTGTTGCGTTGCGAATCGAATATAATGTCCTACCAGAGAATAAATTGCAAATACAGAATTGACGAAAGAGGAAGCGAGGGAGAAGAAGCAAGAGAGGGAAAGAGAAAAAGGAAGAGAATTGAACAAAAGCAGGGAAGTATACACTGTATACAGGGAAGGAAAGCGCGGTTATAGAGCGGTTGATATCGAAGAGAAGTCGCTTTCTTATTTCCATTCTTAGCAGCGTTCGAATCCAAGTCTGATACTAGCGTTCACTATTTTGCTCATCCCCACCTACATAATTCTCTTTGCTACCCACTCTTCATGGACTGGGTTTGTCTGCAATAAATTAAGTAAGAGAATGATTTTAGAATAGTCATAGAAGTCTTTTTAGTCATCAATCCATGTTCCTGTCATCAACTTTTCAAAAACGCATAATTCGACCCAGACGTGAATAATTATAACAAAGAAGTCCTTCGAGAGACAGACAAAGGCAACCTTTAGCTGAATAACTATGTTTACGCCTATTAAATTATAAAAACTTACTAACCTTTGTGAGATAATGTCAACAATAGCATTATAATAGAAGAAGTTAGAAAATCATTTTGATACATTTAAATAATTATTGCTAAATAGCACTGTTCTCTATCGAAAGAAAAGTGTTGCTTATAATCGCGAAGTGAAAAAGAGAATCGAAGAGAAGGTGAAACGAAGAGTAGGTATTGAGGAAGAGAGACAAGACCGTATACACAGAGGTAGGACTGACAGAACGTATATAGAGGAGTACGACCTATACTTCTTAATACTGACAATTTCGCTACTGAGGCCAATCAGAAGATAAACTGCTAGCGCGAACCGCCCCCTCGATAAAACGATTGGTTGGTTAGCAGCGGTTGCCACCCCACGTCCGCGCGTTTGGAAGAGGGGAGAGTTGCGCTACGAACCGCGAGCTGCTCGCGTTCCCGGCTTCCCGGCCGACGACACTCCGATGCCATCGTCCGCGGGGCGAGACCGAGCGCGCAGTTCTCCGTCTCTTCGCCACACGTTCGTTCGCGATTTTCGTTCGCTCGAAGATTGAGATCGGCTCAGATATCGAAACGCGTCGCGTGATCTTCTGAGCGCTAATAGATATGGGCTTCAGTGCCGGCGCAACGTTGCGCTATAACGTATGAGGGGACTGACAGGAGGACTAGGACCTGGAGTGACGTGACAGTGAAACGGGGACCCTCAAATTATGTGTATGACGGATTGAGCAGTGCAGTGACCGACCGTTTAATATTGTCCTCTAGTCCCCCTAGTGATTGTTATTGAACACTGTGAGACGAAAGTCTCAACCACGGCAGCAAAATTGAGCTGGAGTTGCAACGGTCCGCCGGCCACTTTATGAGGTGAGTCTAAACGCGGAAGCACAAAAAAGCGCGCTTACTTGGGATTGCGTGTATTCGAGAAGTCTGAAAAATAAAATCTACACAATACACGGAGATAATTTGTTGTTATATTTTACCCTTAAATTCACTACAAACTTGGGACAACTTGGCAACCAAGGAATTTTTAAAATATACAAAAGACATTTTACAAATAACGTGATAAAAATTACCAAGCAGATTGGTAAATTTTGAAAAATTATTGAAATTTGCTAGATATATTTTAGTAAAATTAATCAAACATATTTTATATTTTAATGTAATAGATATTAATATTTTTTATCATGGTAGATATTAATCAGAATAGCTCGCATAAAATTCTTGGTGGTACATGTTGTCCCACAACAACCATGATTTCAGGGTAAATTTTAAGAAAAAATTCTCTTTGTGTACGAACACAACACACAATATGACTCTCACAAGTCCTAAAAGCTTGACAGCCTACGTGACATTAGAAGCCCAAGTAACAGGACGACGTCTAAAAATGTTTTAATGACATGTCTTATTATTGATGTTAGAGACGTCATTAAAACATTTTTAATACTTCATTTGACGTCATTTTGCTACTTCGAAGTTTTCTTTAACAGATCAAACACTTCATAATATCAAGATTGTTAATATCATAAATCCGTATTGATGTCTTCATTAAAGAGATTTATATCTGAGTCTTATATATCAACTTATAGCTGCGGAGTCGGTGTCGAAAACGGTATCTTATTATTGTTTAGTCACTTTAATATCTGTTATTGCAATAAATATTACCACATATCGCACAAGGAGAACCCGGCAGTCTGTAATCACCGATTTCAATGAGATTTTGTAAGTGTATTGTATTCACACTCATACTTATACTTTTCCAAAGCCGTAGGACCCACTATTCAGGAATTCTCGAAGTCGAGAGAAAGATTTTCCATAAGATGTGTGCGGGGTCCTTCATTGTGTAAATAATATACTTTTTTTCTTATCTTGTCTGAATCTGGAATTTATTAATACCTAAGACCACACATTAAATTAAATGCAGTATATGATTAAAATATTACACGTATTTTTTTTTAATAAAATAATCAAAATAAAAAATTTAAATAATTTAAAAGTATAAGATTTTAACTTGCGTCGCTACGTCGCCAGCTCGACAACCGTTCTTCCGTAAAAGTATTAAGGTCTTTGCGCAATGCCAGGAAACAGGCAATAGATACAGAATTTTCAACGTAACGGAAACCCTATGTATATTGCCTGACAATGAGTCACTGTTTATTCTGCATTTATACATGATTTTTTTATTTCTATTCCCTGTTCTTATTGTCTGTTGTCTGGTATATGCAAGAGTCTTTAGTGTTATTAGAAAAATTTCATCGTCATTTTCTCGAGAATGCCTGAATAGAGGGTCCTTACGGCTTTGGCAAAATATAAGTATGAGTGTGAATACAACACGTCCACAAATCCTCATTAAAAATTGATGATTCATGATTACAGACTGACGGGTTCTTCTTCAGTCAATAGTCAAATGTTTTGACGATTTATGAAACAAAACCAATGGTCGTATTGTCTTAGCCAGTTAGGTCGAATAAAAATTCTTTAAAGTAAAAGTGCTAATACCGAGACACACACATAAGAGTAATGCGACGAATTTTCTTACTTAAATTTGAAGAACCATTCAATTTTTGATAATGACATAATAGAGTGTGAAAATAGACTATATTTTATAAGTCGAAAAGAAAATATTTGTTGAAAAATTGCTTTCAAACATCAAATTTTATTAAAATTATATTATATTAACCAGTTGAAATGACCTAATACGTGCACAAATTGAAAAATTATAGTATAAAAGGATTACAATATCTTCTGTTAAGTCTCAATTTAAAAAAATTGATTGTATATCAATAAGTCACATTAATATTTACACTTATAGTTATTTTAAAGAAAATTATCATTCTACTTATGACTTATATTCTATAATTTATAACACTAATAAAATATGATTCTCGGTTGTCCATAAAAAATATTTTTTATTTTAATAAACGTTTGACATTCCCTAGGAGGAATTTCTTAGGTTCCTCCCTAAGGAAGAAAGTAAGCTCTGGCGTGAATTTGGCTACTTTCGCCCCTCTCTACAGACATGGAAAGTCGAACTTTTCGTGGAGGTGTTGTGAAAATATATTACCAACTAAGGCTGCAGTCATGTAGCATTTGATGCTATATACAAAAGCTCCGAGGCATTCTTCTTCTTCTTCTTTCTTTCAACGAAGAAAGAAGAAGACAAAAAGAAAGCTTCAAAGCATTTGTCAACATCAAATTTGCAGCCTTAACTCACCTATTGGGACCTGTCCTGGTATTAATACCAATTATGGTTAACCCTTCGTGGTCACTGGGGGTCAGCATAAGACTCCAAAAATTTTTCAAAACAGAATTACACTAACTTCAAGCTTCGAAACGGGCTTTGTGCCATTTACCGAAAACTGACATTTCTTACTTATCTGACAGTTCGTTAGGCCCGAAGAGAATTGCTTGTTCATTTTTTTTTTTCCAAAAAGTACCCACTTTATATTGCAAAATAAATACTTTTTTTGGAACGTACACTGCCGTACTATTTTCTTTTTTTTTTTCCAAAGTGTCACATCTCATGAGTAAGTCATACATTTTTAGCCAAAAATATCAATAATTTAAAAAATTACAAAAAGTAAAAAGTCATTTTTTATGTACTTTAACTTTGCTATTTTTTTCAATATGTTAATATTAAATAAACAACAAAATTAATATTGCAACAGGTTTTACAACATTTCAAGAAGGTTCAGTTTAATTTTTTCAAGTCAAGAAGGTTCAGGTTAATTTTTTCAAATCAAAATAATAAAAATTGTAAATATGGCAGCCAATTAAAGTCGCTGGGATCGTTTTGACCCCAATGTGATCATTATGAAACTGTAGATAAATGTGACCACGAAGGGTTAATTATGTTAAATAAATAATAAAATTATGTTAAATAAAAATATCGTAGAAATAAATGCAAAAATTGCATTGTTTTTATCAATATTAATAATATCAAAATTAATACTGCGCGGACACCGTGTTTTTGGAGCACTCATCCTGGGACTTTCAAGTTCAAAGAGTTTTTAAAAGCGTTTCTGTGTTTCTGTACATAGGCCAGAAGTGTTGCAATTTTTTTTACGAAAGACGTTTTCTATCCATATCTTTGACCTCCCGTAGTATGTGCCTAATTTGACCAGTGAATGCCATGGACCACAAAAACCCTGATGCAATACCGACGAAAAATATCGGGATAACCCTGTAATCATATCTTTCTTAGTTGATTGGGTTAACTGTTAATTGCAACCGTATCTAATCTGCAATGTTATAACAAGTTAAAAGATCCCTGTTCCCTCCTTTTCGAAGTTCTTTTGTGCGTAATGATAACGACATTTACTGATTCACACTCGTATTGGATGGAAGGCACAAGTGCGCCTTCACGTTGTCTCGAAACTCGAAACTTTCCGTCGGTACTGTATTTTCTAGATTTGGTAACTATATTGTTAATTGTTTAATGAAATTCTTTACTAGTCTTTACTGTTTGACTATCTGCAATCTATATTTCGTTACCATTGTATACTTTTATTTATAGACAAAAGCATATTTTAAAGCATAAAGCCCATGTATAGAAATTTTAGAAACTTTATCGAGAATTATCTCATTTGCATAAACTGGAGCTTTAAATAATTTATCAAATTTGGAGAAGCATTTATTCATTTTGATTATAGCGGAATTAATGACTTAATTAAAAATCATTTGAGAAAAACTTTTCGGCAAATGATATACATAAGATTCTTCGCGGTAAATTTGTTTTTTAAAATTTAAATGATTCAAAATGTGTGATCCGTAACATTCAGTGCTTCTCGATTTCAAGTAGGATCAAACTTCGCGATTGCATCGAATTTAATATTATTCATCGCGGTTGTTGTGCGTGTATTACGAAATGCAAAATATAACCTTCTAATTGTTCACAAGATTGTTAAACGCAAAACTTTGAGAAGTAAATAATATTGGTCGAAATAGGCAATAAATTGCGGCTTGCTGCATGTCCCCGATTTTCTCAGTGACCCACGCCTAAACATTCAATTAGCACTTCCTAATCTCTCCCCCGTCGTTGTCAACAGCTATTACTTCCAGCATCTTCTCGATCTCAGTGAGTTACTCTCTTGCTCTCTCTTAGAGAGAGAGAAAGAGAGAAGGGGGAGTATTCTCAAAAAGCACCCCAAACACCACGGAACGATGATGACAGGGTGGTTGTTCCACCCCTTGCAACTTCAACTAACCGACGTATCTATTAATCCGCCCTGAATGACACTCGAGGGTGGCACTCGCTCTCTCGTTGTCCCCTCTCCTCCGTACAAGGGAGCGAGCCTGACCCTACAAAATCGTAACTACCGCTCCCCCTCTTTTTCTGAATCCTCCCCCGACCACTACAGGTTTTTTTTTAACGAACACTCAAGGAGATTCAGTGCGATAATTGTGTTAGTTCGAGAAATTAGGATTTGGAGTGAGAAGAAGAGGAAGAAAGAAGATTGAGAGAGAAAGGAAAAGAAGAGGAAGGCAAGTGAGTCGTTTGGCGTACCCTTTGCCGCAGGGGTGACGGTTAGGGTGGAGGATGAAGAACTGGAGAGCGCGCGGAACGTACCGAGATTGGTTAATGGCTTTGATACGAAGAAAAGGATAAGATTAATTTGTTTACGAATCGGAAAGCAAACGAATAAGCAATTATGTGTCGCGAGGAGAGCCCACTCTCGTCTTATTTATTTAAAAAAATGTTTCTTATAAATTATTTATAATAAAGGTTGAACTGTTTCAATAAATAAATAAATATTAGGTCTTTGTAGTTGAATACGCACCGACAAGAAAAGTGCGTCCCGCTGAGCTAGGTATCCTGCAGCTAGACTAGGTAAAAACCGCGTGTTAAAATAAAATAGATATATAGT